ACAGGTTAAAACAGGACTACCATAAATCGAAGAACATCAATTCAGATTAAAATATGACGACTGTGAGTTTGTAAAATCTGCACTAGACTTCTTTAAATTGCATAAGTTATGCAGGTTGTAATAAATCTACGGAAAATTCAATCAGGTTGCACAGTTTTGAAAAGGCTGCAAAAAATAATGTAGAAACTGTGCAGGCTCAAATAAAATTACAGTTCTACCCGCTCCGCTTAAAAATTGTGCATGTTGGAAAAAGACTACCGGTGTCAGAGAAAGACGAACATGTATCCATCAAAAGTCATGCGGCAAGGAAACCGTAAATTCCCTCAAATCTGCACAGATCAAAATTAAACTCACATGAATCCCATTGAAATCGTGCAGGCTCTCTTTGTGAATTTGAAAACACAGAGCCAGTGCATTGTGCCACAATGAAGACACATCCAACAATTAAGTTCCATAATTGGAACAAGTTGGCGCTGTGATTCCGTCGCGTGCCGTCCCCCAGACGTTGCGGAACGCGCTCGTTCACTCATGAATATTCACCAGCTCGGGTGCCTTAAAGGAGAGCAACATTGAGCACAATGCACCCCCTGCGCCCACAGCTCGTCTAGTTTGCCACTTTGTCCACTCCACAGGTGCGACCCGGAGAACGGAGTGGGCGCCTCACCTACTTGAAACAAATAAACCCCTCCCTCAAATAAATGTCTCTCTTTTTCCATTTGTGAAAAAAAGTGCCAGTTCCCAAATGCTACCATAAATTGACAACACGACATAGTGAACAGAAGAGTCTGTTGTGTTGCAAACCAAAAACAGCAGCACCTACAGAGAAGGGGTTAAATCGTGTTTCAATTGGAGAAAAGTGAAGAAACTCACCTGTAAAGAATTTCCTACGCACCCGCGAAGTTTAACGTAGTTGATTGTACCACGTTGGACTCGTGGTTGGTTAACACGTCTGCTGCACACGTTTTGCTTCCTTTCCTCAGACCTTGCATCCTTCCTTTCGCCTGTTTGTGTGCAACACTGCTTAAAAACTCTTTCTCGATTCATGTTGTGCGATCATCTTTTTGCCATTCATCACGGTGGTACATGAATACACACAAGTGTCAAACTCAATGCCTGGTCTGACACGACGTCATTTTATGTGGCTCGCAAACGCAAATTGCAGTATGTGCATCGACTTCATGTTTCTTGCGAAAATGCCTAAAGCGCAAATTAGTCTTCAGTTTTACAAATGTTGAGATATTGCAGCCATTTTTTGTCACCAATTCTCTAACT